TTTACTTAGAGTCCCCCTTTTGTACGTCATCCTGTCAGTCTCGCATTCAATCCTGCTGTGTTTAAATCTCTTGCTGTTACATTTTTCATCTAGTCTTAGGCCTTCCTCTTCTTCTACATGGCAGTATACATGGCAGCTCCATTATTTACCTCACTACATTTCTGCTCTCTGTAACAGATGCCCATAGTATTCAGTCTTTTGGCTATTTTCTTCTTCAGTAATTCCATCATCTTCACTGACTCTCTGGTGTGCTAGTTTCTGTTTTTGTCCTTAGTATCCATAACATGTTCCTCTCTTATTGATGTTACTTAGGCTTCTGCAATACATAACAAAGCCAGCAGCTCAACTATTTTTTATGTTCTTTAAGTTCACCAAAATCTGCTTTATTAAATTTTAATGGCAAAGTCTAAGAAGTTCAATTTCACTGCATATTGTCACATTGATTCAGTCTATCTGTACAAGCTTGTGTACAGAATGATGTGACCGAATTAGATTGCGTCTAGGGTCCTGCCTCTCTCAGGGTAGTGCACTGGATATCAAGACTTGCTATTCCCAGAGTCATTGCAAAAGTTAAAGATTTTTAGAAGGTACACAGAATCTGCCAATTTACTTGTCTTTTAGACCCAAATTGACAGAAAGCATAGACAGGTTTCTGTCGTTAATAAAAATGACTGATTTTTCCAAGTTGTTAGACTCTAGAAAAAGGTGAACAACTATGAACAGCTGGCATATAACGCTACTAATTAAAACTCTACCTTCCTTTATAAACTCCTCCATATAGACACAGGAAAAAGAAAATGGATGTTATGAACAGAAGGAAAGACTGGGAGGACACTTATGTGGTTTCTGTTCACAGGGTTGTTGAAATGGTTCTTATGATTCTTGGGCTGGTCAGAATGCTGCTTTGCAATCTCCCCTCTCTGGAGGCTCTCATGGTGTGTTACCGGCACAGTGTGGCTGCCTCACTTATAAAAGATCTCAGTCAGAGCATACAGCAACTGCTGAAGGAACGATAAACTGGTTTTCTTCAGGCTTAAAGTGCCTATAAGCTCCTGAGTGGGTGAAGATCTGATAACTTCTCCATTCCTTGTTCACAGCCCCAAGCTTTTCAGCTCCCTGAGAAGCCATCACCTGTTTATTGGCAGGCAGAAGGCTTTTGCCATTGGTAACTGGTTATTCGTCCATGAACCATCAGCCATTTGGAACCAACTAAAGCTCCATCAGTACACAATCCTTTGATATCAGCTGGTCTGCAACCAACTTCAGCCCCAGCTGAGTAAAAGTTGCTTACATTCTGCGTCAGATTACTTACTTTCAAAGCATGCAGCAAATCTCGAACAATCCTTTGTGGGCTGAAATTAGAAAACACTTCTTTTTTTTTTAAAAAGCAATTAAAAAGGCAGGAAAATAAAAATATGTAGACTTTACATCTCTTTTAGTAAAATACAGAATATGGAGGGGAGAAAATTGACTGAGCTCCCTTAATTGTTTCTTGTATAAATACACTCTTCAACATTATGCTGACCATTCTATTTAAGAGGATTCCAGGTCATTTAACATTTGTAATGTAGTGAAAACATAGTTGTCATGGCCTGAGTGTCTGGTGCCTGTCTGCACTTCGGAAAGATTTCTGCTTTGACAGCTGGGATAGTGGGTACAGCCAAAACCTAAACATGTTAGTTGGTTCCCCAAATGGTTGTTGAAGCCATTTGTGTGTTTCAGCCACATAGTGAAAAGGCATTTTTTCTGAGCGGTCCGATCTCTGAAAGGGTAACAATTGTAGAGTACGTTTAATCTGAGTATCCTTGAAGCTGGGACAAAAGGATCAGTTTATTTCTTCTGATGTCAACACCAACTTACATTTATATGGCATTTCTGACATTGGAATGCTTTACTAAGTCCCTCACAGGAGAGTTATCAAACAAAATTTGATCTGGGGCCAAATACAAAGATATTAGGACAGGTGATCAAGGCTTGGCTGAATAAAGAGTTTGAAGGAGCATCTTTAAAAGTGGAATGAAAGAAAGAGAGGTGGAGAGGAAATTCCAACGCTTTGGGACCAGGAGCACAGTGACAGTGATGGAGAAATTAAAGTGAGGGTTGTGCATGAGGCTATGTTTGAAAGACCATAGTGATCTTAGTGGGTTGTACAGATGGAGGAGATTGTGGACGTGGGGAGGAGCAATGCCATGAAGGATGCGGAAAACCAGGATGAGAACTTTAAAATTTGGGTATGGACCAGGAGCCAATATAAGCAAACAAGGTGACAGGTAAATGGGTTTTGGAGCGTTAGAACATGAGCATCCTAAAGTTTATGGAGGGTGAAAAAAAACAGAACTTTGGTCTGGAGTTTGGAATGTCCTGTTGAAAGATCACAGACCTGAAATGAAAACATTCTTTCTCTCAGATATTGTCAGACCTGAGTTTTTACAGCATTTTCTGTTTGGATATTTCACATTTCCAACATCTGTAGTATTTTGCTCTTTCCTGTTGGAATAGTCTAGAGGTGAAAATGCACGGATGAGGGTTTCAGCAAGATCAGAGTTTCGTTACGTTACTGATTATCTAGCAATGTAAGAAAGTCCACAATGAATCTCTCTGATTTGATTTGTTACTTTTCACTCATTACTTTTTAATAGATAAATTGAAGCTTAGCAAAGAAGTAAGGACAGGCCCATGTTAATTGGTGGTAGAAGTGGACAGGTGGGATGATTAATGAGCATTTACTTTGTGGATATTCCAAACATTGAGTTTGTATGGGTGCTGCTACTTCCACCTGGTTGCTAATGAGAACAATGTGGTTACCAGCAAGGACCAAACCCCTCACTTCGCTGAGTTAGCTCATCTTAGTCAAAGTGGCTTTATCCCCATTGCTTCAATGTTAGGGTCAAAAGAAGCCAGGGGTTTGATTCTAAATCATTACATAACAACTCTTTTATTTTTCCCTCCCACTGCCTCCATCCCGTGGATGTGTGTATAGGTGGATGCTGAGTGTGAATTGACCGTGACAGTGGGTTTCCAGCTGACGCTCGCTGACCACGTTTACATGGAAATAATTGAATCTTTGGAGCAATTCAGTATGATGACCATCAGTTGTAAAATCCTACTGCTACAAGGCAATAACGGGAAAAAAGCAAATGGATTGTTCTGTAGACTGGGACAAGCTGGAGCCTTTAAATTGAAAGGAGCATCACTACCCCTTCTTTATTAGGTGTTATAGCAAAGACTAAGGGTGCAGTTATGATAATCAGCTACTAAGTTATGCAAGCCCAACTGCAGTGGCATGATGGGTTTGATTATAATAGTTATGAAACTTAAGTATTAAATGCTGATTCATTCAGAAGGGACTGGAAGGAATGTTGCTAAGTCTGAAATTCTCTTGGCTTATTGCTTAGGTTTGTAATTAGCATGGCTCACGACTGCTGATGCAACTGGCTAGTCCAAGCGCTACAATGTTTTACTAATAAGCACCTGCTGTTTGATTGCATTAATTCACAGAGCGGAAACTATGATAGCACCAAGTTTTTAATGGTTATGAAGCTATATTGGCATTTCTCTTTTTTGGATGCTGTGTGTTTTTAACCAGTGAAAAACCAATTTAAAGTCTTGTGCATGGTGTTTTAGCTTTACATCAAAATCGCTGTTTCATTGGATTTTGTATGGCTTCGTACTTCATAAGCAATATCTGTAGAAAGTCCTGCTTTTATGGAGTTTCTCAATCCAAAGTACTTTACAGCCATTGTACTTTTGAAGCAGTGTAGTAGATGGAAATATAGCAACTTATTTATACACAGTACGTTTCCACATATCCCAAAGTGATGGTGAAATCATCAGTTTTTCTTTTTAGTGATGTTAAATACTTCACGCATATGGCACTTCATTCTGTGGTCTCACTCAATTATATACTTGAGGCTGTAGAGTGGGTTGAGATCCCACAGCCTGACACCATTCTCTCTTTAAAAATGTTAAAATGGATAGTGTTTAGAGGAGAATGGGCGCAGAATGGATCAAGCAGTCAGCACCAGATATAGCTGATATCTGTGTGTTCTGGCTTTGATTTCTGTTCACGCTGATGTGATGAAAATTTATTCTGTCTGATTTGTGGACATGCTCGAAGTGGGTTCGAATAAGCACCTATTTGTGTTTAGACCCACAGCACAAAACTAGTTAGTTTTGCACCATGTGATACCATACTGTCTCTCTGTCAGGGAGGGAATAAGTTGACTGGTGTGGGAAATGTATAGGAATCCTAAAAACCAGATCCCGTGTTGCTGTCCTGTGACATATGATAGAGGCTCCATATGAGGTTTGTGTTGATATTGCAATCCAAAGAGATATCTCAAAAATCTCATTCATTGTTATATTTTACTGACAATTGTGGCAACTTCACCAGTGGAAGTTTTAGGGTATGGATTTGTGCCTGTGGACTTCTCAACTTTGTGCTGAGTTCCAGAATGTATCATCTTGGCTATAGTGGGCTTGGGACAGGAGGGTGTTTGGAGGAAATTGCAAAGTCCCTTCTCTCTCTGTAATGCACCTTCCAATGGTGATTACAAATAGTCTGACTCTCTCTCCAATGAGTTGGTCTATAAATACACTTCAATAAATAACACTCAGCCGTATAAAAAAAGGTCTTGTGTTTGATTTCTGCTCAGTGCTGAAGTTGGTTGCTTCTGGGCCATCTCAAAGTTCCTTAATATAAAGAACAAGGTGAAGAAAATCGAAAAAAATGTATTGGGTTTGTTTTATGCCCACTCTCAATACAGGCAAAATTGAAATGATCACAAAAGAAGATCACTTCTGCACAGATTGTCAGGCTGATTAGCAGGTCTGTTCTTGAGCAAGTGTTCCTCAAATCTTTGGTGTTAATGGAACTAATCAGGGGAGAGGACCAAGTTAAAACTTCTAGCAAAAATTTTTTAAAAATTAAATAACTTAAATCAATGACTGTTGGTATAGAATCAACTTCAGTTTCCAATTCTGTTTTCTTTTTACTACAGATGGTTAAACCTGGGACAAGGAGGTGTTCTGAAGAGGTGGGAGGAAGAAAATTTTCTTTGACATAAAGAAATTGCTGGTTTGACTGCACCTGTGCAAGCCCGAATTTGTTGCGCTAAGATTACAACTTATTCTAAAGATCTGGACTGTGCCCTTAAGGGCAAATCATAAAGTCAGCAAGATTGCTAATAGCAATGATACCGAGGCTGGAATTAGTACTATGGGAAGTTTAGGTAGCTGTCTCTTGCTGCCTCTTTTAAAACGATGACTAATATCCGTGATGAAAGGTCAACCAGGTTGTCATGACAACCCCCACCTCTTTTGAGGGGGATCACTCGACTCCTACATTCTTTGTTGGATGCGAGGAGGATGAAATTGATGATCTGGAATCAAACATGAAGGCAGAAGACCTTGACCTTTACGACGATGAAAATGATTCAGATTCGGTAAGGAAATATATCACATTTTTAAAACAACTCTTTTTCACTTTGAACCTTTTTTACCTTGTGTTCAGATTTAAAAACACATTGCTCGGCAGTAAAAACAATAAACTGGTCTATGAATCACTTTTTATTTAATTAAACTAAGGCCTTGGTATAATCACTGGAACAGTTTTGCGTCAAAAGTAATATTACTTGACATGACTGATGTGATTTTACTTAATGGGTTGTGCTTGTCAGAAGAGCAAGGTGGTTTTGTGTTGTTGTATGTTTTTAGTGTTTACGTTGTGGTAGAAAAATTGTTTTTTTTTCCTATAGCTGTTAGCTTTGTTTCAATATCTGAAGTTAACTGGACAAAGTACGTCCAGAAGATGCCGTTATTTAAGAGTAGTTGCACTGTTTTAGGGAGTGACTGATGTCTTTTTGAATATCTAAGTGTTGCTTTAATCACATTATCATTGTGTCTTTTGAATGCTTTTTATTTTCAGTCTTCCTTCCTCAAGGCATAGATTCTTTTTTGGGTACAGTTCTGTAGATACCTCTGCTACATGACTCCTTGTTCATCTGTGAGCTTTAGATGGTGAATATTTGCTGTATATTTTATAATTTGAAACTTTGCGCTTGAATCTGAACTTGTTCATTTCCAATGTTGTGGATCAATTTCACTGACAACTTACCTTTCCAGCTAGCCATTCTTCATGGCTGAGACCTATAGTGAACGTTGGCAGGCTGTTTGACTGTGGAGGCTTTCACAGTTGAGTGTAATTTAATCTTGCTTCATGTCCATGCACCAGAGGGGAATTATTGGTAGGAATGAGGCGAGGAAATCGTTACTATTTTCTCACCTATCCGTTGCCGTAATTCGGGAGATGCAGGGCAAATCAAGGCAATCATCAAGAATGAAACAAAATTCAGCAAGCCTGATAGCATCTGTGGAACAAGAAATAGATCTAATGTTTTGAGTCCAATATGAATCTTCTTTGCAGTGGTGATCATCACATTTAGTTCGGTCAGGGCAGTTACTTGAAAGAAATTTGGTGATTTACATATACATATTAATCTATTAAAACCTTCCAACTGATTAAAGATTTAACAGCATCTTAAGTTTGTTTAATAAATCCTCATCAGTTGAGTGACCCTCTGATCTTTTACTTATAAATTCTGTGTCTGATGCCACCTCTCTCACTAACACCTGAAGGAGGAGTGAGGCTCAGAAAGCTTGTGTTTTCAAATAAACCTGTTGGACTATAACCTGGTGTGATTTTTGACCTTGTCCACCCCAGTCCAACACCGACACCTCCATATCATGATCGTCACATTGGCTGATATCACAACTCGTCCCAGGCCAGAGATGAAAATGAGGGACTTGCTGTTTAAGTTTGAAAGAACTTCATTAATGATTCTAATAAGTGAGTATTCCCCTAACTGTAACAATATAATGGATGTAATCTGTTACATTTTAAACCGTTGCCTAATGTGGATTCATAACATGACACATAAGCTTTAAATTTTACAGTTATGTGTGCAGCACGCGTCTGGGATTAGATGTTCCATTTCACTCGTAAGAATAGATATTGAACACTTAATTCAAACTTTTAAGTGAAGCTTGTTTCTTTTATCCTCCGTTTTATTGTCTTTCTTGCCTCCATCTCCAAAAGTTGACTTACTTCATATGGTATGTTTCTATGGATAGCAGATCCTGTCCAGTACTTTGCCTAAGAAGCTGCTTTTCAGTAACCAGGCTCCAGCATATAGGGCTTCAATCACATGGCTATGTTTCTGCTAGATATGTATTTGAGGCAGAGAATCTGACATCAGGGTCTCACAATTTGTGTGCTTGTTTGTCAGCACAGTAGTCTCATGACCAGGGATCATGGCTGAGACCCCTTCTGGCCTTTCCTGATGCCCATACAAATGTACCTGCCAATGGGAGTCGCGAATAGTTCCTCAAACCATAGCCTATTTTTGTTTTTTCCTCACTGGACATTGAGCTGGACTGTAGTGCTTTTCTTCCTTTTGCTGAGATCAGCCAATTTTAGCCCAGACCAGGGTTAAGTTCTGATCTCCAGTGCAATTCTATATTGATTAACATACTAACCAGTCATTCACTCTATTCCAAATCTCAGTCTCCAGATGTATGTGATAACCCATTTTCCAGTCATTAATGTGAATTTTCTCATTGTTCTTTTGCTGGGGCTTATTTTTGGTAGCTGCTCCTCCTGATATTTTCACCAATTTACTTCATTGGAACAGAGTGGTGATGAGGGTCAACTTGAACATTAGCAGAAAAATTGAGAGTTTTAAAACAAGCTTAATTTAATGTGAGTCTTGAACCAAATGGGGAAATACTTTGCTGTAAAATATTTCCATTCATGCATACATGTAACAGAAATCAACAAATAGTTCCTTTTCTTCAATAGGACCGTTTAATTTTTTTTTCAAAATTGGTATTCTTTTAAAATTGAAATCATAATTTAAAAAGCTAATTGGATGCAGGTATGAATAATAATTATTTATGGATTGTGGAGTGAAGGTAAGTTGGACAGAGACTTGCCAGTGCCTATGGACCCTTCATTGCCAGTCAGAAAAGGAAGGTGAGAGGAAATAGCAACAACTGACAGACGTAAGTTACAATAACAATACACCAAAGAAATTGTTAGCTAGAAGGAGACCAAAGTCCATTTAGTATACAGTCTATCATCTTAGTAGTCACAAGATATAACACTACTGGAGTTATTGACTAATCACAATGATCAATCTCTATCAAAGAGCTTGCAACAGTGCAACAGAGCCAGACATAAGGTGAGGTAAGCCCCCATCCCTGCATTGTGGAGAACCTTGAGAATCATCGGCTCAAAGTAACCTGTGCCTCCCAAACTTGCTGCATTTGTCAATTGCTCACATACAATTTCCCAAAATGTTGCTTTCTGAAATAAATTTAACTTCCATTTAATGGTTCAACACCAGCGAATTCCACCCCTCCCTAAGAAGACTGTTTCATAGATTGACAACTCATTAATTGAAATTTTGTTTTTGCAGATAGCCTTTAATTTACCTTTACTTAAAGAATCAGGTGCCTTGATTCTACTGATTTGGCCAAAGTGAAATAGCTTATAATTTATTTTATAATGACTGATATAATTACTTTTAGAGGTTATTTTGTTTACTCCACTTACTTTATTATTAGTTTGTTTCCCAAGGAATTGCTTTATTATTGAAGGATGTTCGAGCTGAGGGGCTAGAATTTTCATATTGGGCAATTAATATCAATCTTGGGCATTATTAATAGATATAATGCAGGAAAGAGCAGAGCAGAGAAAAGTTTCAATCTGAAATGGAATTCAGTGGCTGGTCAACTAATCCTTTAAAAGGAACTCATAAATATGTGATCAGAAGTGGCTGACCAAGTGCCCTTTATAAGTAAACAAGTAAGTGTAGATTAGCAAGTCTTGCAATAACCGAGTCTGCCATTAGTTACGAATGAGTCAGGCAAATAACTACTTGGTCACATGCAGTTCATAGGTATATAATTTGCTTGGCTGTCAGTTTACATAATATACTGAGTTGTCAATCCCTGCGTGATTATTAACCCACTTGTTTGCTTTACTTTTGACTGGCGCCCGTCAGTAGTATGAAAGCTAAATTACAGCTGTAGAACATGTTGATGAACACAAAGCAATCTTTTAGCATTTTCTTATTGTCTACATCTTTGGTAGAGGTCTTCAAGATTATGAAAGGATTCAGTTGGATAGTGCATGAAATTTTTGCATCGCCCTCAAAATTGAAGTTGTGTGTTTATTTAAACGCCATCGTATTAACTAGTAAAACAAACCGATCCACTGTAATTTACAGGGGCACAAAATTCTTTTAATGAGTAAATGGCCAAGTGGGTTAGGAATAGGATACCAACAGTGGAAGGTGCCACTGTAATCAAGGAGGGTCCTTGTGTTTGCTCCTGATGATGTTCTCAACCAAATGTTATTAGAATATACTATGGGATGTATTTATAGTTTATGCAGATTATTGTCATCACGGTAGTTCAGTGTCATACACAATTTATTTTGGGTTTGTAGTTCCTCCAAGCTTCATTTTTCACTCAGCTTAGCTCTGACCATTAGGCTTGAGGATATAATGCTGTTTTATGACTGCAGTGTCCGCCTATGTTAGTCCTATCAGGATGACTTTGTTTTGGTTCAGTAACAAGCTCCTTCTTTGCAGAATTTGGATTAAAACAAATCTTTTAAAAGTAGTCAAATAATCTTGTCTGACTACTTGGTTTGTTTAACCTTCCATGAGCTGTATAGTATGCAAATTGTTTCAACGTTTTGGAAATGTGCTTCCATTCTTCAATGTCATTTGGTCAAAGTCCAGGAGCACCCTACCTAACAGCACTGTGGGTATACCTATACCAAATAGACTGCGGCTTCAACATTGAATCCCTACAGTGTGGAAGCAGGCCATTCGGCCCATCGAGTTCATACTGACCCTCTGAAGAGCACTTCACCCCGACCCACCCCTCTCACCCTATCCCTGTAACCTTGCATTTCCCATGGCTAACTGATCTCTTCTGCACTATGGGGCAATTTAGGCCCCACTGCTGTGAGGCAGCAGTGCTAACCACCCATCCACCATGCCTTCCCTTTTCATAAAGACAATTCACCACCATCTTCTCAAAGACCATTAGAGATGAAAAACAAATGCTGGAGTTGCCTGCGATGCTCACATCTCTTAGAATAATGAATAATTATGCTTGCATCTGCTTTCAAGAGTAAATCTATTTTATTGACTCATCTGTCATCAAAAGTGTTTGTGAGCTGGCAGCATTCACCATCTCACAAGGACTTATGATCACATTTTGGTTCATGAGGTATGAAAGCTTCCTGGAATAGGTGAGAGTAGGGTACCGTTAGCTGACCCTAAGCCTTCTGCTGTAGCATGGTACAACACACTTGTGTGAGTGATTGTAAACATCAGGCATATAACACACACCAATGTGTCTCAATACT